TGCTTAGTCGTAGTAGGAGAATCATAATGAAGATTGATTTGTTTTTGTATATGTGAGAGAACTTTCATGATAGAACTCTTGAAAAGAAGTACACTCTTGTAGAGTTTCATGATAAGGTCCCTCAAGATCTAGTACAAAATCGATTTGTTACGACGAAGCACTACTAAATAAAATTGCATGAGAAAACAACTTGGTAAATTTATTTCGATAAGAAATAAATGAATGCCTGTGAAAGTTGTAAATGCATAGTCAAGAGTCTAAGTGGGAGATTGTTAGAGTATATACTATTAATCATGTGTTTAGACATAGTATTCTAACAATTTTTAAGATTAAATATCTAAGTGGGAGATTGTTAGGGTATATACTATTAATCATGTGTTGACACCCAATTTTGACCCTCCTTCCTTCTAATTTATTGTTTTTGAGCTTCTAATTTAATAACGTATAAAATTATCCCTTTTACAACTATTTTTATTACTACAACTATATATCTTCTAAAATTATTAGTTTTATTATCAAAATTACTAATATTATTTTTTATACCTCTTATCTTAAATAATCATTTGTCATCATTTTATTTCAAGTTTCATATTTTGTTAAATTAATTATACGTCGATATCTTGTATCTATATTTAATACTAGCATAAAGTCGTAATATCGATATTTTTATTTACGTAAATTATTAGTTGTCATCTTATAACATTTTAAGTATTGGTTATTAAGTTAGAAGTTCAAAACAATTCAAAAGAAGAAAAGATCCAAACGTTTCAGCCCACTCTTTACACTAAAATATGTCAAAATTAGCCCATTTTCGTTCCTACACTTGACCCAAATCCGGCCCAATTTTCAGCCCAGAATCAATTCAAGCCCTAATAAGCCTTATCTTCTCAATTAGCAGTAGGATTCTCTCTCTTCTGTTGTTCTTCTTTCCTCTTCCGACTAAATTCCAGCAATCCTCAAGAATGACAGAGCTCTTCCTTTCCAATTCCATGAAAGCCTCGACAACTCTACTAGCTCTCTTTGTTTCTCATCTCTCTTCTTTAATTTGGTCAAGAGAAAATGCCAAAGAACTTTTGAGATTTCTGAGAAAGAATCGTCTAGCAGATTTTTTTTCAAAATTCAAACGGTTGTCCCGCTCAAATGTTAAACCTATAACCCTAGTTCATTCCTTTAAATACAAGGAGATTGCACTCGTTTGGGGAGAGTTTTTTTCTGCCTTCATAGCACCTTGAACCACTGATTTTTACTCTAAAAAAATAGCTTGTCATTCTCTTCTTATCTCGGCCAAAACTCTGGTCTCAAGCTTCGTAGAATTCGTTGATTGTGTGAGTGTAGACCTTTGATTGCAGCAGCCCCATTCACTGCCCTATAGCAGGTGACATTCTTTTCTTTTTCCTCAATTTTGTTACTGTGATTAGAGTGTCATGTTGCTCTAAGAAATTTGTATGTTGAGACTGATTCTTGCTTAGTTCAGTTGTAATCAAAGTAATGTTAAAATATGTTTGTATCCATTTTGAGATCTATACAGACTTGAAATTGTTTTCCCCTCACTTTTTTTTTAGACCTCGAATTTAAAGAATGGCTTAGTTTTAAAATTGGATATTTGTTAATGACTTAGTTCTAGAATTGGATTTACATAAGATGCGTTGTTGTTTTGTTCCCAGTTAAATGTCTTATTTTGTGTGTTTATATGCTAAAGTTTCAATGGTCATGTTTTCCTACGTATAAAAATGTTTAATAGTAATGGCTATTGTCCTTGCTTCTGTTAGAAATAGTTTTGCACATGCTTCCTTTTAAAAAATGTAAAAGAGAGCCTTGGTTGTAGGTATTTTGTTTAAGTTCTACACTTTTTTTTTTTTTTTTTGTTGCTAATCAAATCACGTGTATAAGTTCCTGTTCGTTTTTTAAATTTGTAAGTTAGTAGTTATCATATTTAATATTTGTAGGACTATGGCACAAATCATGTGCATTGTCATTATTAGGCGTTAGTTTTATGTATACAAATATATACCTATAAACTTAAGCTTAGGCTTCCTTTTGTTTTACTCTCTGTTAGTATATTAATTTTACTTTGCCCTTTTCTTCTGAATATTTTAGTATAGATTACTTATAAAGAATTGTTAAAATTCATGGTTTGGAAAGGTAAGCTTCTTTGTGGTTTAAATCGGTTAAACCTGAAAATTAGTTTTATTCTGTAGGTCGGTTACTTTGAGTTTTGTTAATAAGTCGGCTTATTCTACGCTTGCATATTTTCTATTCCGGATAGTGTCTTTGTTGTACGACTTTTACTTATCTTCATGTATGATTTATTTGATATAGTTTTAAAGTGGATTCACCTTACTAATCTTTTTACCCTCTATTTATTTGCATGAACACTTTGGAGCAAAATGGAGTCTTGATTAAGGACTCTCGCAAAATTAGAGTCTCATAGACTCGACACCATCATACCCGCACATGAAGTTGATATCCTATACTATCCAAATAGCAAGCAAAATTCACTTTTGGAGTCGCTTTTGCTTATTATCATTTAGCATTTATTTGTTTTTAACTTGCTTATGTGTTTTGGATATGTGTTAATTTCTTGTTTCATAATAACTAACTTAATATAGATGTTTGGGTTTGGGTACCTTTAGTTAGATACAAACCTTATTAGTCACTTTACCTTTTATAAACTTCATTTGGCGAACCTTTCTAAAAAAATATAATACTTCTTTTGCGCCATTTTAAACTCACTAGATTTATTAAGTTTGGCTCAAAATTGGCAATGTCTTACAAAGAAAATTTGTTGTTCTAAACTCTCATTTTTCTAAAAAACTTTTTCTAACGGGAGCACCTTGTCGGTCAATGAGCAAGTGTCTTTTTCTTTTAATTACTTATTTTTAGACATGGATTTGTCTAAATTGATCTAAAGAAATTACTCATTCTTAAACCTTTCTTTTCATTCTAATAAATTGCAAAAGAGCTTTTAAAATAAAATAAAAAATTGTTTTCCAACTTGGTTATTCAATCATTTAATATTTAGCACTCATGTCTTTCTATTAAAATTAACTAATCTAAGTTTGGCCGGTAACCGTCTTTAATGGATCTTAGAGGATGCCTTACCCCTTCTCTTTAGGATATTTAGAACCCTTACCTAGAATCTTAAGTTAGTAGACCATTTAATTGAAGTCATTTTAGTATTACTTAGTTAATAATTTAGGTATCCTAATTTACCTTAAAAATAATTAGGTGGCGACTTCTTAAGTTAATTAATTTGGAAATCACCAATATGTTGTACAATAATTTGACCTTGGTTAAAATGGGGTATAACATCATGTGTTTGGACATAGTATTCTAACAATTTTCAAGATTAAATATCTAAGTGGAGATTGTTATGGTATATACTATTAACCATGCTTTTAGATATAGTACATTATAACAACTGTGATGGTTAAAAGTCTAAGTAGGAGATTGTTGGAATATATACTATTAACCATATGCTAAGATATAATATTTATTATAGAATAAATATTTATTCAGTTTTAATAGATCATATATTCATTTATGGTGTCTGTTTACTTGTATAGTAGATGATTCAGTGTGTAGAGTTTTAGCTTATACACAGAGGATTAAATCATCGGTTCTTATAAATATAAAGTTTTTGTTCACAATCTAGGATGGAAATTGGACATGCCATCGGTACGATTGTAGCACAAGATTATATGTAATTTATCTTTATTATGGGAACGGTATAGTTCCAACTTCTTGTGCTAGTGCATTTTGTATGTATTGAACGGGACCGAGTAGAAATAGTTGTTTTAGACTGGCTAACAAAAACATATTCTCTAAACTATTAAATGTACTTATATTTTTAATCTTGATATAACTATTATGATCTGTATATATTAATTATCGTTTTGATTTATTAAAATGTGAGATTCTGAGATGGGTCAATATGCCTGGTAGGTTGGATGATAATAATATATATTGGTGAAATAATAAGTTAGTTGATGGAAAATCCTTGTCTCATTATAGGGATTGGTTGATATGTCTTTTGAGAAACCTATAAGTTTTCATCGTGTCAAACCTTGCAAGTGGATTTATGAATCCGACACATGAAATAAGTTAAGTAGTGCTCTAAAGGAAATTAATCATTAAGTTAAATTCGTCAGTAATTTAATTTATTGATTAGTATCTGAAATCTTAACCTGGGAAATTACATAAGTGTTTAATAGGGAATTACGAAATATAAATAGAGGAGTGCAATTGCGAATTTCTAGTGGAATGATTTGTAATTTATTATGGTAAAAATAATTCAAATTAATTATTTGGAATTATTTCCATAATAGGAAGCCTCAGTAATTAATTATGTGGTCCCTACGTTGTTCATATTTAACTAGAACTCAGAATTCTATTTCTAAAAGGAAAAGGGTCCAATTCCAATAATGGTATGAAAAGGGGAGACAACTAGGGTGTATTTTTCGGTTAAAAAAACAAAAACAAAAACAAAAATAGACTGTGTTTTGTTCTCCTCTTTGGATTGGGAAGAAATCTCTATAAATAGAGATTTTCCTAACCTAGAAAAAGATTGATTAGTTTTTTATTCATACTTGTCCACCCAAGTATTGAGAGAGTTCGAATGTAAACTTGGGATCACTGTAGAAGACCATAGTTGTTGGTTGTCTTTTGAATTCGCTTGAAGGTATCTGCTCACACTTCAAGAGGTATTTATCGAATTAAATTCCAACAAGTTTATGTGTTCTAGCATAAACGGTATTGATTATCTATTGTTCATTTAAGCAGTTTAATTCTGATATGCTTCCGTTATACATATAATTTTCCAACAATATAATTATTAAAATATTATATTTATTAAAACAATACAACGACATAATAACCCTCCAAACATAGTGTAAGCATTTGCAATAGAAATATAGCAACAGTCACAGTGATACGTCATATAATGAAATATTATAAATTAATAATATTAGTAATAAAGAAAAGAAAAGATGATGACAATCTCAATCCCCATTGGTAATAAAATTTCTGATGTCTTGAAGAGATACATGATTGGAAGGTCTTTCTTCTTTCCTCTCATATTTATTACCTAATTCCATCAGGGGCGGATCTACATGGATCCAAGGGGTCATCCAAACCTCCTTCGTTGGAAAAATTACACGATATATATATAGAATCAATTTTTTGATTTATATGTATATACCAAGTGATGAACTCCCTGAACATAAGCTAAGGGCTTGGTTTAGTGGTACATGGGGTTCAAGAATTCGCAATATAAGTGTTGGGTTGCGGGTTCGACTCCCTGTAACGGCGTTTTTCCTCATATTTCAGTCGATTTTCATTTAATTTTCTAAATAAATGAAAATTTTGTTTTGTTTGAAAACATATTGAGATTTATACTATTTTATTAGATATTAAAAAATAAATTTATTTTTCATTTTTATAAAATTAAGTAAAACTTATAACGTTGTTTTCATAATTAAAATTAAAAATACATTCTCTCATACTCATTTTAAGTCAAACGTTTAATTTATATTTGACTAAGGAATAATATAATTATAAGTAAGATTAAATAAATAAGAATAATCATTTAAAATTTATAAATAAATACAATTGTCGCGATATTTTTCAATCTTGATAATTATTTTCTCGACGCGAATTTTATTGCTACAATATGATTGGATTTAGAAGTATTCCTTAGTTAGTTTCAAAAATTAAATAACGTTTATATACAACAATGACAGAGACAAGACCCATATAGTTATAAAAAATACATTCTCTCAAACTTATTTTAATGTTATGTCAAACATATACTTACTAGATTTTATTGTTTGTGTTGAGGTAGAATTGAATTATTTTTAGTTGCTTACATCTGATCCGACTCATTTATATTTGACCCGCCCCGCTTATATGGATACTAATAGCGTACTTACTTATCTTTTTGAACCCTCGATGAAAATTTTGTCTCCGCCACTGAATTCCATAGTGAACTCTTCAACCCCTTTTCTCCACACCTCTTCCACATCCCTTCACCAAAGCTCCTGTGCGCGAAGTGCGCCTCCGCCGCAACCGTCTCACCGCCGTCACCGGCGACTGTTACCGGCAGTCTCTCGTAGTGGCCTATCTCGATCCCTTCTAAATCATCCAGCGGGCCTAGCCCACCGCTATTCACCTTGTAGAGCTCGCCCCGGACCCGGTGACCCGATCCGCGGATGTTGATCAGGTATGGGATCCCGTAGGGTCCGCAAGCGAGCGGAAATGTCTCCACCGTCGTGTACTCGCCGACAAAGACGACATTGCCTCCGTCGATCAGATTTTCCATCAGGCTATGATTTGGGAATCCGCGCTTTAGGGTTCCGTACGTGAAAATCAACCGTGAATCGCTTTTGGTGTCTCCTTCTGTGATCGCCATCATCCCAAACTGATTTTCCAGTAAAGTGAAGAAACTTTATTGTGACTTTTTCACGTTACATTGCTACCAACAATTTATAGCCTCGTATCTGGAAAGTCCCATATTAGAAGGGATAAATTGCGCCCTTAATCAACAGTGTTAGATGTAAATAAATGTTATAATGGGAAAAGTAGGTGAAATTGAATTAAAATCTCTAAATTATTTATTTAATCGGTTAAAGTGTACTTTTCTTACTAAAAATATTGGAGTAGTATATTTTTTCTTTTTAAAAATATATTCTATTTCTAATAAAAAGAGTATTATTTTTGAAGAATCCTATCTTATCTTTGAACGAAGTCATTCTTGTCTAAATTGATGCAGAAAATTATATTGTAATTTGTAACGTAGTGATATACTTGGCTCTTCTGCTTTTTAGCTTATTCAATCTTTTTATATTTTGACTCATCTACTGTTTGATAAGAGAAAACTGAAAAGTATCATCATCTAAGCTCAAAATCAACTACTAGTATTGTCTATCATTTCGTGGACTAAGGTACAAAAAAATCTGAAGCTCTAGGTGCTAAATAGAAACGACTAGAAAGCAGAAGGGACTTGTGAGGAGAAAACGGAGTATATACAAAACTAATGGCTGTAAAGCAATCAACAAGAAGTTAATTGTTTAGCTAAGCTACTAGGGCATATTAACACAGAATCAACGCACAGACCACCTTTTGTATGTGTACAATCTATCTGTGTCAATGAATATTTCATCTTTGTTGGAACAGTGGCATCCTTAACAACAAAATCTCCTACATGGTGCTGCATCCAAGTTCCTAAATTGTCCAGATAACACCGGGATGTCACACGACAATCATCCCCTGTTGTTAACTGAAACTGGACAGGTTTTAAGTCCCAGCCGTGAACATGCTCATAGCTACAGCCACGACGTTTGTGCCTCTTTGTCGCCTTACCAAGCTGAAGTCTGAAGAAGAGGCTATATGTCCCTTCTGGGAATTGGAACTCGAGATCCCCATCGACTTCAAGCCACCAGATTTGTTGAAGATAAGCTACAGTTTGGAATCTACATGAAGAATGAGAGTATCAGTATAGAATCAGCTGCATAATTGAACTTCAAAAGTCTACATTACTGGACAAGGGAAAGAGCAAATAGATAACAAAATGTATGAAATGACTTCCTAAGCTAACAATTTAACAATACAGAAGTCTTCTTTTGGCTTACTTATTTCATACAACCACACAATTCCATATACTAATGAAATCAACCTATTCGAGGATTCACCCTCACATGTCAAAAGAAAGGAATGAAACGCGACAACACCCCCCTCCCTTGTTTTCTTTTTTCCCATAGGGCATTTGATTTTGTTACGATATCTCTTTAATTGGTCACCCCGATTGACCATCAGGCCAGCTCAACTTCGTGAATGCCCTGAAGGAGCTGCTCTCATTAGGATGAAATCTCGAGGATTCACTCACTAGGAACTTGATCACCAGGCACAACATCACTTGACCAATTTATACTTGATCTTAGCTTAATATGTGATCTTGCATTCTTAGAACTGTCAAAATCTCATTGTATCGATACAAAGACAGAGTTCAGATTAGGATGGAGTTACTATTTGAAATATGAAAAGGGTTTGATTCATTTCATAGTTCATACAATAGTATGGTAATGGTGGGTTGATTCATATAGAAAAGAGGATAAGTAATCCGCTATAACATGTTAAACTATCAGTAAATTTTGAAGTTTTTTCCTTTCATGTTAGGTGACTACTAGTCAATAACTCAGAAAAAACAAAACACTTGTTTGTAGTCATTTTTGTTGAGAAAAACCCCACCTTGATTCATCGGTCGGAATGTGATTCCAGTATCTGCGATCATCGATGCCGGTAATTGCCATTCCTTTAGATGAAATTGCCAAACAAACCCCTCCATTCTTCTTGTCAATCCATACTTGCTGTAACCAAAATTAAAAAAAAAAAAATCATCAATTCAAATCTCAAACTTGGCAGGGGAAGAGGTAATATAAAATGTTTAAAAAAAAAAGAAGAGAAAGAGATAGACCTTTGTGCCATCATCAAAGGACCTGGGAGAAGAAAGCTTAGCAAAAAGGTCCTTTTTACATAAGGCATCATCAACTTTGAGGGCAAGCAATTGTTGAAGAATATAGTTATAATTAGAGGGCAATTTGGGTTCCCAAATAAAATCAGCAGATGAAGCAGCATGAAACACCCTATTAATACGTGATAACTTGCAGATCTCAGGTGGATCAAGGTATGAAAGTAGAAGAGCAACACAAGCCTCTGGTATATCATCAAGCTTAGGCTTAAATGGCAGATAATTCAACCCATCATCACAATTTGTGTCAATGGAAGATACATTAGCACCCATATGATCAGAAAAAATCAAGAAACAGAGAAATGAAAAAAATGGTGGAGGTTGTTAGAGTCTCTCTCTATGTATTTATTTATGTCTGTATCTGGTGGAACAAGAAAACAAATTGTGGATTTTGATGTTTTTTAGAGAGAGAAAAAAAGGCTTTTTGACTGTTGGTATGACGAGGAGGAGGAGGAGAGACAAAGTATTCTTATCCACAACTATTTCAAACTAGGGGGTCGTTTGTTTATCGTTATTGATGTATTAAAATTAGCATAATTTTATATACTTATTTAGTTATGAAAGTGAAAATAATAGTACTGGTCATATAAAATCTAGCATAAATTATATAATATTTTCATGAAGTATAGCATTGCTAATATTTTATCCTCAAATGAAAAATATTTAAATTTTATATCAAACACTTATATCATTAATCTCTATATTACTAAAGTTTACGTTCTCCTCTCTATATTACTTGATCCTTGTTTATAAGGCATACCGATTAGAAGTATAATTTACTAAACTAACATTATTAATGATAATTTTGATTTTTAGATTTGATTAATTTCATTCATTTAATACTAAGGATAGTATAAGAAAAAGTAATAAACCCCTTTTAATTTGTTAAAATGAATCAGGAAAATGAAATATATGTTTTTTTTAATATAAGAGCCACATAAATAAAACGAAGGAGTACATAATTCTAACTAGCAATCAAATAATTTCTGAGGGGTTGTTTGATAGTTGATTAGGTTTATGCAAGTATTACTAATCTATGAATTTGTTATGAGAAATGAATGTATTATCTTATTAGGGGTTAGTTATTCATATATCATTTATTTCATTTTCTATTTTACATAAAAATTATAACTTAAATTTTCTCGTTACTTTATATATGTATTCTTTATGCGAGTTTCTAAACTATATATCATGCATGAATGATACGTTCTAACCAACTATTAAATATATTGTATTCCTTATACCAACTGTGATAGGTTATTTTGGTCTTTGTTAGATACTTGGCTTATCAGGTGTCCTTTGAATGGTCGTGAAGCTTTTGCCCAACAACTTGCCAAGTTGGCTTGAATTCCATAAGAGTACTTGTCAATTGACAAAATCAATTATTCCAAAGAAATTACTCTTCTGGATAATGCATATATGATACTCAAAAAAGTGTCATCGATGATCACTTCGAGCAAGAATTACAAGTCTGAATTGAATAATTATATTATCAGTTTTGTTCAATTTCATTTTGTGCTAGTTGTGAGGGTCTACTTTTTTTTTAATCTCGTACAAAACTTGATCCAAAGTTAGTAGATAATTAATTTCAAAAAGTGTTAGAATATAATTGTTACTAGTCATTGTCTTAAAAAAAATATTATGTCAATTAAATTATTATCGTTAAAAATAATTTTGATGTAATGATATTTTATATATTATACCTCATATATTCATCTTTAAGCCAATGAACCAACATTTGTTAATAAAACTGTATTCACTAAATAATTTCACTATTAGTTAATTACTTTTGAAAATATAATTTCGCTATTATAATCCAAATATAACTTATACACGATGCCATACATTCTTAGTTATGCTTATCTTTATCAATCCATTGATATGAATGTTTACTTTTCGATCCATTATAGTGTTTACCCGAAATAACAAACTTTTGAGAAAAGAAAGAACAAAATGATCAACCAAAATTACTAAATTCTTAGGTAGGACATCGACATTATATCCAAATCAATAAAATCATTCTTATGCTGGCAGGTTAGCTATCAATTAATTAATATGTTTATGTGGTCCATCTTTCTTTTTCACCATTGCACTTTTGTTTCCACAAGGAAAACCATTAACTATTAATCAACATTAGAAAAATTAAAAGTGTCCACCAATCACTCTCCTAACCACAAATTTTAATATTAAACTAATGGAAAAGCAAGAAAATAATAGTATTCTAGTAACTACTAATAAAGTTAGGTTGGACACTCCCCCCTTGTGCAACTTGTTTGTGTCGTATATATGCTAAAAATCAGAATCTTGAAAGGTAATTTTAATTCAATAGAAGACAATTAGATATAAATAGCAAAATCCACTAGCACTTTACATGTGGAATTGAGTCAGCAAATAGATATAGGCCACAAATGGCTTTTCACTAACACGTATATATTCCCTTCGTTTTAATCAAGAAATTGAATTTCTTGCTCCGTTACAATTTGAATAGAAAAAAATATTATTTCAGATATCTCATACATAAAAATAAATTATAATGTTGATTTGTTTGTAAGGTGAATATAAGCAGAAGAAGAAAGAACAAAGAAACTTCTAAAAAAAATTCATGGTTGTACATCTGTTTAAGAATGATGTTTTTTCTAACATTTATCCATGTGATGCTTACAAGAATACATAGCTGTCCATGTCCTAATTATTACACTTGGTTTTACTTTATTTAGTAACCATTGCTGATCTTCTCGTTTTCATATTGATAAGTAGGATTAAAAACAGCAAATCAATGCAGTGAATTAATTAACAGATATATATGTTGCGACTTGTTACTATAAATAAAACGATTCAATAAAGATCTTACTCCCATATGAGTTAGGCAAGTTGAATTATGATATATATTCTTAGTTCATATTTTTAATCCCATTATTTCAGTCAAAGTATTTTGAATGGACTAAATAACTCTTTTTTTTTTTTTATAAATTCAAGTCATTTTGATTTGTCAACTTTAATCCAATCTACCTATTTGACATCTCTACATGTAAAAATAGTCCCTTGCTAAAATGTGAAAGCAAGCTACTTATAATAAATCTATGTGATTTGTCGATCCGTTTTTGGACCTGCATATACCAAAAACTTAACACGTCGATAGTCTATAATCAAAAGTCTATTTTCACACAAAAAATGGTCGAATTTTTCGTGTTTTAAGTAGCCCTTTATTTGGACCATGAAGCAATTCTAAAATTTCCACTTCCATATATAGTCATCCCTAGTCATTTGCACAAATATAGTGTATTTGTGGAGGACCGATATGTACGTATCTTTTTTGTTTTCTAATCTGTGTTTAGAGTTTGTATTAGAGCTTTCACAAAATTCGAATCGTGCATTACAGGGTCCCTTCGAGGTGGCACTACCAACTGAATTTTCTTCAGACCCAAGACTCAAATCCGAGACCTCTGATTAATGGTGAAGCAATCCCACTGCACCACAATTCATGTTGGTGATATGTACATACCATTGCAAAAAAAATAAATTAGTTTCTGATTAATAACTTTTTAGCGGCTATTCCACAATATTTTGATTGATAGGGTAAGAAAGAAAAAATTAGTACTAGTATTTACACATGAAAAAATTAAAGCTTTTTAGCATTTGAACAAAAAATTGTTTTGAAGCATACATTTTTCTAATGAACTAATTTTGTGGAAAACAAATAGGATTTATTGATTCGCGGTTGAAAAAAAAAATTAAAAAATAAAATCTTGATTGAGTTAGTTGCTTCATGAGATAGTACTCAACCAAGTATGACCACTAATTTGTCACAGAGCCAGTAATTGTTTCTCATATGACGGATGGTGAATTGTCATGACTCATGACCTATGGCCGTACGCAGCACATTATATACACAGGTATAATATGTCACCATACTATATTATATATTCAATCTGATGATTTTATTTTTTTGGGGAGGATTCATTAACTAGATCAACGAAGCATTGTCAATCAAGTTGACAACCCTTAATTCGAAATTTAATCTTTTCACTAAAACAGTTGAATTAGCTGATGTTTTCCAAACGCCATATTGGACCATGAAGCAACGACTAGTAGTTTTCCTACCAAAATACGTACTTGCCGTACACAAAAATTATACATGTTCATTGATTACTGTTAAATTAGGTCTTGGGCCTAACTTACACCCCAAAAGGGGCTCAAAGGGAGGAGGATTGTTCAAGCCTTATAAGGAGTCCACCCATCTCATTAACCACCGATGTGGGACTTTTTTCATTCTTTAACACCCCACCTCATGCCCAGTGCTTAGCATCTAGTGCGTGACAATTTTATTTTTGGGGGCCCCAACATCGGGTGAGACGGGCCCTGCTCTGATATCATCTTAAATTAGGTCTTGGGCTTAACTCACACCCCAAAAACTAGCTCAAAGGGAGGAGGATTGCCCAAGCCTTATAAGGAGTCCACCCATCTCATTAACCACCGATGTGGACTTTTGTCATTCTTTAACAATTACATTATATATATATATATATATATATATATATATATATATATATATATATATATATATATATATGTCGATTATTTAAATTTAATTAATTTTTCTGTAGAAACGTTGTTGTGTAATGGACAAGTCGAGAGAAAAGGCAAATTCTTTAGATGGTTGGGCTGGGCGGCTGGCCCAGTGGTCATTTCCAATCAAGAATGTTAGACAGGCCATACTGGATACATTCTGATCACATTTTCCTCTTCTAGTTATATAGCAAAAACCGGTATTTTCCCTCTAGGAAAAACCTTCGAGGTCAAAAGTTAAAAGTGTTGCTCAATAGAAAAAAGTTGTTATACTTGAAGTTTCGCAGGTAGAAGGACAAACATGATAAGAAATTTAAGATCGTTCATTTTCAAGGTCATTCTTGTAATTCATGTATGAGAAAAATTGAATTATCTGTTGATCTTTGCTAGTTGTCCAATTTTCATAAGGCAACAAAGTCAAAACATTGAAGTTTGTTCATGCTCTATCTTATGAAGAAATTGAATGCTTAAATATTTACTATATAAAAAATTGGCCATAATTTGACCTGAATGGTAAAAGGACATGTTCACATTATAAACTAGTTTATTTTTGGATAATTTTGCCCTTTAACTTAAATATTGAATGTTTCTTCAATTATGTTTCCAATACATTGAAAATGATTAATGAGATTAATTATTGATGATTTCATAATTAAACATGAGAAAGAAACCACAAAGTTAACCAAAGAAAACATAAGTCTCACCCACTCTTCTTA